CCCACGTAGAGCGCATTACAGTGGTCTAATCTTGAGACTACAAGCGCATGCACCAGAGTGGTGAGAGACCCCACATCAAGGTAGGGTCGCAGCTGGGCTATCCGCCTAAGATGGAAAAAAGCGGAGCGGACCACGGACGCCACCTGGGTCTCCATAGTGAGCGCCGGGTCCAGATGGATCCCCAAGCTGCGGACCCCATCCCCGGCGGGCAGAGTCACCCCCCAAAAAATGAGGGAGTTTCCCATATCCCCAGATGTGGGGGCACCCACCCTCAGCACCTCCGTCTTGTCCGGGTTCAGCCTGAGCCCGTTCTCCTGCATCCATTGCAGTACAGTCTCCAGGCAGCGCCGAAGGGACAGAACGGCATCTCCTGCGGTTGGAAAAAAGGAGATGTAGAGCTGTGTGTCATCCGCATATTGATGGCACTGTGCTCCACATCTCCTGATGACCCGTCCCAGCAGCCTCATATAGATGTTAAACAGCATTGGGGAGATGATCGACCCCTGTGGGACCCCGCAATTGAGGCTCCACGGGGCCGAGACATTCTCCCCAAGCTGTACTCTCTGGGGACGGTCCTCCAAGAAGGAACGGAGCCAGGCGAAAGCCTGGCCACCTATCCCCAACTCGGCGAGCCTCCCCAGGAGGATACCGTGGTCAATAGTATCAAAGGCCGCTGAGATATCGAGGAGGACCAGCAGAGACACTTTGCCCCTGTTTCCTATTAATAGGGGGGAAATTGCAAGCAGCACATTTCCCCCCTTTTGAGCTATATTCAAATAAGTGCACACAGTTCAAAATGAGTGAATCTTCTTTGGACAAACAATAAAATCAAAACTGAGAGATTTTCACATCCCTAATCTCCCCCGCCCCCGGTGCAAGCACACAAAGGAGATCAGAAGCTTCCATTTTCAGTTGAGACAGACCACAGTCAGTTTGCCATCCAAACCCGGAGTTGACATTACTCCTAACAGTAAGTAATAAAATTAATTGTTTTCATAAACAACAGCTTTACATTGGCTTGTTTCAAAGAACCATACAAAAGCAACCACAATTTGTCCAGGTTTGGAAAACAAAGGGAAGCTGCACTTGGAAAAGAAGGGGTAGCTTCCAAACTCCTAAAAGTTGTTACAGAGGAGGAGGGAAGAAGGGTGAGAAAGTGAGCTCAAGGCACACTGAAGGTTATCCTACTTAGCCAGTCTCTGGTTTGGTATTACGTTCAAGCAAGACCATTTTCAAAATGTGACAGCACAAATGCACACACACTAGTGGGTTCTTCTCTGCAAGGCTGCCTTCTGTGCTTTTCCTTCTAGCACAAAGAATATTTATTCTGGACTATGCCAATGTAAGTATTAGCAAATTGTTTTCTGATTTAATTCAGTGGAAGCCATACAAACTCAGAAGCCATATTTCAGGTCTGTACATACAGCTAAA